TATAAGACGATGCCGCATGCCCAAATATCCGCGCAATCTGGCCTGCAATATTTGAATTTTTAAAAAAATTTTTTTCTTTAGGTTTTTTATTTCAAAATATGAAACACTGCTGTACCTGTATTCCCTATTAAACGTTTCCGGCGCAGCATATGCTGTCGTTGCATAAACCGGACAACGCATTTTTTTTCCGGGTTCGAAATATATCGCTTCATCAAAGTCGGTCAATTTCAAATTTCCTAAATCAGCGGATGTAATCATTGCAGTTTCTGAGAATGTTTCCCTCTTATTGTAATTCTGCACAAATCGAACATTGAATTATCTCTTTACAGCATCAACATATATGTATTAAATCAATAGAATTAAATCTAATATAAAAGTCATACCATTTAAGGTTATGAGACAATTCTCAACCTTTATATCCATATGAGCTATGCACAAACCGTGAATATGTTTCACTGCCTTTAACAGATCACTAAACAGCGATCGCACTTTTCTGATTCCCATTTGTCGGTTTCCTGCAAAAAAAAAGTAATAGAATTGAATTTTTAACATAACTATGAATTAAAGCAATGCATTGAAAAAATAATTTTTAGCATATTTCAAACAAGCAAAATTCAAAAATTTTTGAGATTTTTGAATTTTGAAATGATTCTTACTTTGAGAATAACTCGCTTCTATGAAGTCGTGAAGATCACCGCCATCGACATATTCCATAATTCTTTGAGTAGATAAGTTAACTTTACGGAAACCAATTAGTCTTACAATATTAGGATGATGGCCAATAACTTCGTTTAATTGTAAAGCCTAAATGATTATCACAGGCAGATGTGAATTCTGCTAGCAAAATAAAAAAGGATACAAAAACGGTTTCAAAAATATTACATTTTTGAGATTATTTTTCATGAATAGAGCAGTTTCCATCTGACGTTCTTCATTTTCTTTGTTTTCTGCAATACTGCGATCCTCTTTACGGTTCCATCGCATCGCATACTTTAATCCGTCATCATTTGTTACAAGATATACTTTAAAGTAACTACCTAAAGTATTAATATTTTTAGTATTATAGGTAAAAAGTCTTAATGACTTTTTAACCATATCATATCTAGTATTATTATATTTTAGTAAGAAAATTTATCTTAGATAAAGCATATAAGATTATAATTTCCGATTTTGCATATTCCAGTGAACAGAGAGAAAAGAAAAAATATGCTTATAAAAGAAGGTATTTTGTTTTGATCAACTGACCTTCGCCGAGCGCTCTTTCGGTTTTCCATTTTTTTCCTCGTAATTCCATTGGCATAAAACTTTCATCGATAATAGCATCATCGGGATCATCACAATAGCTAAATTGGTTATACCCAGTAGTATAACCATTAGCCATAATTTGCTGAAGAATTGCCGTATTTCGAGATTAATCTAGAAGAAAAGTAAAATATTATCAAAAATTACATCATTTCTGATAAACATAAAACTTCACATTCCACGCGTTTATGTTTTCCTCCGTTTTTAAATATCAAATGTTTTTTAATTAGTTTGCTAATTCACAATTTATTTAAACAAAACATCTGCCACCCAAATATAGCCTCTTAAACAGTAAATATACAATAAATATACAATAAACTATTATTGTTCGAACAGATTTCAGAACAATAATGGCTTATTGTATATTGTTCCGAAAATAGCACATATCGCAATGGAATGATTGTTGCAAATAACTTTTGTCTAGAATTTTCTTTTTATCTGTCCAATAACTTTTGTTAGAATTTTTCTCTTACCTGTCCAATATTACTACTACTCTGTATGCTTTAACTCAGGTAAACGCATCTTATTTATATACCTATTCCCTGCTAAACCAACCAATCAACATGTTGATATAATAAACCGTTTCTTTTTGACAAAAAGAAATGGTCTACAATGCTAAATTATCAGTTGAAGGATTTAAAAATTTTAAATCGTGCTATTCCAACGATAACAATTGAAATCATTTAGATTGTGCTTTTAAAAATGAAATTGACCATTTCATTCATTCCTGACAGGTACTGTATGAAATACCTGTCGTTCAATTTATAATGACGCGGTTAATCCTTTTTATTCGTCGTTTTCCAGAATAAATAGCCGTTGTGAGACTTTTAATTATCTTATATTACTGTACTCTTCCTTTTCTATTGCCAAATTTATTAGTAATACTTTTTTCTTGTCACTGCACCTTTGTAGTATCAGAATTGGTATTATCACAAATCTATTTCAAATTTTTTATCAATCATTTTTAAATAAATTTCAATTGATAGCAGAATTTTTTAATGTCACCTTGTCAAACAGATCTTATCATTATCACTGTACGAACAAAAATGATGCATGACAAAGAACGAATGGAATAAAAACATAAATATTTATTCAAGCTGTTGGACGATGATAATTCATCAACTAATAATCAGCTAATTACAACTTGCTACTTATTGATTCTCTGATTATGCATATCTTGTACCCTTTCAATTGTTGGAGAACATATTATTCCTAATAGTGATATAATAAGGTTACCGGGAAGTTATAGGAGAATAATTAATACTATTTATCAAATAATCATAAAATAATAAAATATTAAGAAAAAAGATGTTGAAATGGTAAGAATCGAAAAAGAAAGTCTCAACTGATTGTCAATAAAAACGTGGCGAGTTTTTTCAGTTCAAAATGGAAGAAAAATAGGAAATTTGTAAATATTTGAAGAATAGTGATATGTAAGGTATGTGGAAGTTGCAAAAGAATAATTAATACTTCGCTCCAAATTTGTCACTTATAAAATTGAGTATCGTTTGGCGAAATAAAACGCGAAATTTATTTCATGCTAATACACTTATCAAACGATTATACCGAAGATACAATGCACCCTCGAATTCCACAGTAATGTACAACCAATTTATTAACAGCCATTCTCAAAAACAATGAACAATTATTTAAACATTAATATGTCTCGAAGGTTTTTTAGAAAAAACAAAACAGATTCTGAAATATTTATTCAACAAAATAACAACACAAAACGCAACAATCGGCGTTCATATCACCAAACTGAGTGACCCCAACAATTAGCAATCGCTCATATTTCTCACCTTTTGTTGATCACGATTATTCGCTTCTGCCGTTTCGAATGCTGCTGCTACAACTACACCAACATAGCATGGCAATATGTGTCTTTTATCTTTCGGGGTCAATTAAATGAAGAGAATCGTTTAAAATGTTTTCAATCAACCAAAACAGATGGACAGACATAAAAGACCACATGACCTCTTGGTTATCATTTTCCACGCATATCTCTCATTCCATCATCTCTTTTTTTAAGTG